CGTCAGCATGATAGGACAGCCAATCAAACGTGGTCCAAAATGCATCCGCGAAATTCTAATATAGAATTATCATATTATTAAAATGTAATTAAAAATTTATAAAAATATCTTATGAAAATAATAAATTTGCAATATAAAATACAGTAGCAATAAATGACAATTACCCACAATAATAAATAATATCAATTAATAAATATTATATAGAAAATTAAGTGTTTCCAACACAAATGTGTGAATACATATATTTAATATCTCTTATAATAATAACTTTATATTTTATAAATATATAAAAAAAATATCTTGAAAAGATGTATCAATGCATCGCACAGTCGGAACACTTTTCATTCGAAAATAATGCAGAATATTCTAATTGTTACATCTGCGTGTTGTAGCACAGAAGTGTTTATAAAATATTCTGTAAACTAAAATCCTGTTATGTATATTTTGTAGTCTTCTTCGTAGGATCAAATCTATTTTACATTCTGCTTTAGAAAAGCAATTCCGTACGAATAATCTGAAACAAATTAAGCATGTATAAAATAATTGAATTATAATATAGTTTTGGGAAATTATAAATTACTTTAAAAAATTAAAAAATATTACATGCATTTTTACTTCATTTTCATTTTTATTTCCATTTTAACGCATTATTATTGTTTCGATGTATATTGCTTGTTGCCCAACTTGTATATTTTTTTTTCTTTTTTCTTAATATAATTATTTGCAATAATTTCTCTGTTTATTTTTCTAACTCTAATGTACGTTCTAGTACGTACAAGGCATGCAATTACTTTTGTGGGAAACTTATTATTAATTCTTGCATTGACAATTTCAGTTAATTTATCAAATATTTTATCTTCTGTACTAAAAAAATTTCCATGAAAAATTTCAAATTCCTCGTTCATTATCTCAGCTGCTCTTGGAGGTGCAGAAGGATACATGCAGTTTCCTCGGGATAGGAAAGAAAGCCAATCATTAGATACATCAGGAAGCATTTTTGTAGGAACATCTAAATTATCATATTCATTACGAAATCGGTGTGCCACGTAACCGGCAATGTATAAAAGAGCGTTTTTTTCTATTATTTCATGAGCTATTACTTGCTCGAAACTTTCTAGCAGCTCTACTTCTTCAACAGTAGGTTTATAACTATCTAAATTTAGAGCTGGAAGTATCGATAAAACCATGATACAAGAAAGATTATTATTCAAAAAAATTCAAATTTTACAATATATACCTTCACCATTTTCTTCCTCTTCCGCATTATTTTTTTCCATTGCTTCCTCTTCTGTTCTTGTGCAATTTTTTTCTAATTTAGGAATGCCCATAAATATTTCCTCTTCTTCTCTAGTTATGATTTCATTCTCGTCTGATAGAAAATGTGAGCACGTTGGAGTTGTAAAATTATCGCAACGCGTATCTTGGATATCTATTAAGGTTGTGGAACTGCTGTCTCCCGCAGTATTTTCACCTGGTGAAATTGCGTGTCCTGAGTGTTTACCTAAAATGTACCATTTTAATCTATTCCGTAATTCCACAGGTGTTGGGTGATCATGTGCTCCACCCATCATTCTCAAGTATGAGAATAAATTCTCTAGTATGTCTTGATTTAATCTGCTTGTCAGCAAATATTCCGCTTGAAAAACCTCAGACGAATACTTTTCTTGAATATATAAAAACATTTCTACTAGAGACTTGTTACATAGTAAAATTCCTTTTTGAAATGGTAATAACGTTGATCTTTGTCCAACTCGAAGTTTTTTAATAAATTGGTTCATGTCATTGATAATTTTATTTTGCTTTTCTAAATTAATTCCATATGCACACCTGTCACTATGTTCATATTTTTTCTTGCTATTAAAAACATCGATCCAATCATTAAATAATTTCAGTACTTCAGCAGTTTTTTTCCACTGTTTGCAATTTAATAAGCCATTTTCTCCACACCACTGAATTGCTGTTGCATTTCTATTAGAAAAAATTTGCGCTGCCATTTTTACATTTTGTCGCTGTGTCCCTTTCACATCCAAATGTGCTCTACTTAATTTATGAGCTATTTTCAAATCTCCTACATTGATTGCTAATAACTCTTCTAAACAATTCTTATTAATGTAATCTTTTTCAATTGCAAATCCAGAATCAAATAAGTTATTTCTAGCCAGTTTTAGTAAATGAGGAACGTCGGCATAGAAAAAAATTTTGAGAGAATTGTCTGCCGGATGTGTAATGAAATTTTGTTTTTAACATCTTTCTTCATATTATTCTGTTCAGTATCAATAGTAGCATGGATTCCAATATTTAACTTATTCCATAATTTCATATTTGTTGGTCCCATGTCACATGTTACAGCCACAACAATATAATTTGATTGATACAGATTGTTTATCACAGTCAAGAGAATATCTGGGGACATTGTTTTATCAAAATTATAATAAACAGGCTGCTTCCATTTCTTGAATAATCCCCGAGCCATCACAAACTGGCATGTTTTGTGAGGCCCATAAATCTTCTGTTCCTTTCGTTCTAAATCCACTTTATTTGATATGTATAATTCATCAAATGTTAATACAGTCTCCGACTCAGCAATTGTGCAGAGATCATGTCCTTTGTCTTTCATAATCTTAAGAACATTTTTTAAAATGCCGGGTGGAATATTGAATGTTGCACACCAGTTTTGTAAGGTTGATTCGCATGGCAATGGTATCTTTTTATTTCTCTCAAATATCGATACGCCTTTGGACTTAACGATCTTAAGTTTATAGCAGATGTGATATCCTCGGATGACCTTTTAATTCTAATATTGTCATTTGATGACATTAGCATTTTTATCTGTCCAGAAGTAAATACTTTCTTCAAGGCATTTGTAGCTATCTTTTTGACTTCGTTCCGTTTATCTTCTTCTAATTGTGTAATAGTACAGGATTTATGTTGTACGTCTGTTTGCAATTGTTGTACGTCTGTTTGCAATTGTTGTACGTCTGTTTGCAATTGTTGTACGTCTGTTTGCAGTTCTTGTACATCTGTTTGTAGTTGCTCTACTTTTATGTTTAATAAATGATTTTCCTCAATAAGTTTGTCATTTTGATCTATAAGTCTGTTTTTCTCTATCAACAAATTCTTTTTTTCTTGTTCTGCTTTTTTCAACAAGGTAAGTAATGTTTTATTTCTGTAAAACAAACTTGTATTTTTGTACTAACTTTTGTACTTACAGAATTTACACATAATAAGAAAAAGAAATTGCACATAAAAATAAAAAGACAGAAAGACACACGATAAAACGTACGAATAAATGTATGGTAAAATGTAAGAATAGAATTGAATAGAACGGTAAGAATAAAATAGAGTAAAAATTATGCGATATAAATTGTACAACATACGTCTGTTGATTTTCTTTAACATCCAATGGCAAGATATCTTCTTCTCTGTAAATTTCAGCTTTTTCTTTTATGGTATCTTCTTTTGAAGAAGACTTTTTCATACACATATTGCACAAGTTCAGTGTAAGTAGGTATGCCTGTTCTCACTCTAAAAAAAGTATAAAATTATTTGTTTCTTTTTTGTATGTGTATGGATTAGCAGTATTGCAGAATT